ATTCGTATTAATTAGAATATTAAGATAATATTAGTTCTAAGCTGAAGAACGAAGACAACCGACGAGGGAACTTAGTTTTTTATAGGTTTAGGCTCAAGAAAGAAGTCATCCGCCGAGAGACGTTAGTACCGATAGTATTACATAGTTAAGATTTAGGTTATTTATAAGGTTCATTGTGAAAGGTAGGTAGAAGTAGAACTTGTGATTCCATCTACCTGCCTTGGGCCTCCACTCGCAGCAACCTCCTCGTGGTGAGGCCTGGGCAATCGGTATTATCTTCGGTAAAGTACTGTAAACTGAAGACAATATCGAGCTAATGGCTGCGAACTTTGAATCTATCATAAAACCACGTTCCATGTCACATCGAACTAGGATTATTCTAGAAATCTATATGAGATTCAAAGTGTAAAAATGTCTAGTACTTTGAATGTTTTAGAAAATTATTCGAGATAAAGATGTATGGAACTACTGAAAACTACTTCATTTTCCTTTTCCTTATTCTGTAAATTCTTTGATTGCAATATGAATGCTGCTGGAAGTATGAACATTTTCACAGGACAATGATATAAATAGAACTTTAAAACTTTTTTAAGTGTTACAGTGATATTTCGTTGGCCTCCGTATTAGCGCCGTAATACAATATTTTATAAGCCTGAATAATATCTAAGCCTACTTTTTCTGAATTTATACAAATATCATTAAAAGTATGTTGTAAAGTCATATAGATAAGTAGGATTTAAGTAAAATAAGTATCTTAGGGCACTTTTATTGTATCTATACAAATATTATTATAAATATATTGTAAAATCATATATGTAAGTAGTACTTAAGGCAATTGTTTCCCCCTATCTAATCCCGGCACTATCTCCACTCCTATTCCTAATATCAATTAACGAAAAAAGTAATAAGAAATAATAAATAATTACAAAATAATTAATTCTAAAACTTTTAAGTTTTGGAAGAAGTTCTGAAATTAGTTCCAATTTTCGCCACCAAAGTGGTGGGGGCGCCACAAATGTGCAGGTTCTTCCGCCATTTTGGATTCAGAAAAGTGCCGGAAAAATTTGGATGTTTATGGGACATTTATGGTAAAATATGAAATAGTCGTAGTGATAGGCTTAATAAACAACACATATGTACCACTTAACTGTTTTTTATTGAAAAAATCTGATGAAAATACACAATTTACAATAGTATTTGATTAAATTTCACAACAATTGCCTTAAATACTACTTGTATATATACGAGTTTACAATATATTTGTAACAATATGTGCATAAATTCAGTAAAACATGGCTTAAATATTATTCAGACTTATAACAATAAAAATAATTCCTTTTCTGTAACTTGTAAATCTTCCGTAGGATGTTCATAGCTTCATATGGGATAGTTTCATACATATTTCGTCGAAATTTTCATTCTTAGGGACATACGATAGATGTCGGACTCCCGTGGAGGGGTTGCGAAGCAGGACACATCATGAGTCACGAGTCGTGATTCACGACATATTTGTGTGTGAAGAAAATGATAGATACGTGATCACATTCTCACATTTCACCCACCACTGCCATATGCCTGCATGCTGCACGTTGTTGCCCGCTAGTGAGTTTGGCAGGCGCTGAGTTGCTCATCACTGTTCTAAGTTATAAGATATGGAGATCAATTAGCCTATGGTTTCATCCACATTCCGTGAATCTTCAGTCGCAGTGACCTGCATAAGTGTTGAGAGCCGGGCATTTAGTATTCTGTTCAATAAAATATACA